GCAGATTCCAAGCGTGGTGGAAGAACATTCAGGACAGAGGCTCTAGAGCAGGTTCCAAGCGTGGTGGAAGAACATTTAGGACAGAGGAAGCCACCTCTAAGCCCGCTCCGGGCTCATTGGGAGAAAACCATGAGGCACTGGGCTTATCCCTTTTCTGGCAGGGCTGCTAAGCTGGGAGGCCAAGGAACTACAGTCACACAGCTGGATTTTTGAAAGGCACCATCAGGTTTCTCCTGGGATCTTTGGTTCCACAGACATTTCCAACACCACCTACCATGGAGGGCCCGTGCTGGGCCCTGAGACAGACAAGAGATGAGGGCAATGGGAAGGCAGGAACAAGCCACGCTGCCTCCAGTGGGGCTCGAGAGGTGCTGGCAAGCTGCTTACCGCAAGAGGGTGGATGGCCCGGGGAAGACGCGACGTCAAAGAGGCACGTGGACCCTCCTGGCTTAAAACACATATTTACGTGTAATGGAGGTAAATCTCACTGGGCTAAAATCAAGGTGTCAACAGGGCTGCATTCCTTCCTGGAGGCTTTAAGGAAAAATCCCTTCCCTTGGCTTTTCCAGTGAGAGGCTGCCTGCATTTCTTAGCTCTCGGCCCCTTACTTCATCTTCAAAGCCAGCAGGGTAGCATCTTCTGACTTCGTTCCCATCATCACACCTCCTTCTCTGTTTCCTACTCTTTCCCTTAGAAGGACCCTGGGATATCACTGGGCCCACCTGGATAATCCAGGAGAATCTCCATCTCAAGGTCCTTAGTCACCCTCCATTCTCCGTGTAAGGCGACACATTCACAGGTTCCAGAATTAGGATGTGGACATCTTTTGGTGGGGAGGGGTGGGTGGGCATTATTCTGCCTACCACATAAGTGGACAGGGAAAGTCAAGCCCCAGAAAAGAAAAAAAAAAAAAAATTAATATTCAGAGAAAAGCAGGGATGAGAGGAGTTTTTTGTTTGTTTTTTCAGCTTCCCCAGTTCTGCTTTCCTCTGCTGCCTCCTGCCCTTGGATTCCTTGAGACACCACTCATCTGCTCTGTCGACTGCCACAGAAGATTCTTCACTATGCCCTTGCCGCAATTACACCCATGTCTCTCTCACCCTAGGGCCTGTGCCCTGAACCACAGGAGCCCCACGAGCCCAGGAAGCACAGTGAACTGTGGGAGCGCTACGGAGCCCAGCAGACCAGCAGACTGGAGCGACGTGGGTCAAGCCTAACAAATCAAGTTCAGTAGGGAGAACTGAAGGCCCTGATGAAACCAACTATTTGACGACAGGATGGGTGAGGCACAGAAGCAAGCCTTGTTGTTTAAAGAAAAAAAAAAAAAGACTTGGGGATCATAGTTGAGAGCAAGTTCATTGTGAGATAACTGTCAAAGACCACCATGACCTCTGAAAATTACATATCCACATTCAGGAGGGCAGGGCAGCTAACCATACTGGAGACACCCCTGAAATCAAGAACAACTCCCCTCACTATTTCAGAAGTGTGTCTTTTCATCCAAGCACACAGCCTCGGGGGAGTATGCAGGGAGTCCTGAGGACAAACAGGCCACAAGCCCAGGAGTGGCCCTATAGCCAAATGAACCCAGCTGAGGGGTGTCATCCGACCCCCCTCCCTGGTGATTTAGGAAGCTCCCTCTGCTTGGGGCTGATCAGCAAGAACCTAGTTTAAGAAAAGCGTGGCCCGGGCTTCCCTGGTGGCGCAGTGGTTGAGAGTCCGCCTGCCGTTGCAGGGGACACAGGTTCGTGCCCCGGTCCGGGAAGATCCCACATGCTGCGGAGCGGCTGGCCCCGTGAGCCATGGCCGCTGAGCCTGTGCGTCCGGAGCCTGTGCTCTGCAACGGGAGAGGCCACAACAGTGAGAGGCCCACGTACCGCAAAAAAAAAAAAAAAGAAAGAAAAGAAAAGAAAAGCGTGGCCAGGATGATTTCAGGACCAAGAAGCTAAGACAAGGCACCGGGTACAGGAGGAGGGGAAGAGGGCTAAAAACAGGATAAACTGTCATCAAATGTAAATACCAGAAGGGCTGTCATGTGAAAAGGGGATTAAACTTGCTCTGTGCTGCTCCAAAGGTTAGAACAAGGAACAATGAGTAGATGTGCCAGGGACAAAGATTCCAATTTAATCGAAGGGAGGAAAAGTTTTCTAACAGAGATGCCTGAAGGTAAACAGAACTGTTTCAGGAGACGTGAATTCAGTGGAGGAATGTAAACAGGGTAGGGCTGCCTGTTCACAGATGGGCTTGAGAGGGGATTCCAGCGTCAGCCCCTCAATAAGGGCAGGTTCTTCCAAACCTGAGTCCATGATTCCATCTCCTATTTACTCAGTAACAATCATCCGTTTACATATCAGAGAAAACATCGAGATAATCACACCAGAGACAGGAAGCACAGAGGCGGTGAGTACAGTAAGTCCCCTACATACAAACCTTCAAGTTTCGAACTTTCAAAGATGCGAACGTGCCTTCCAGCGACGGCAGGGGTGAGTGAAATTGCAGCTTGCCCTCCGTCTCCTACTGCTGAGGATCCTTCAGCTCTACCATCTCCCACCTCCTCTCCCTCCTCCAGTCAGTAACTCTTCTAGCCTGTTCACTCGATGCCAGCCCCTGTATGCCAGCTGTTGAACTGTACTTTTCAAGGTACTGTACTGTAAGATTAAAAACGTTTTCTTTATTTTTTGTGTTTGCTTGATTTTTATGTATTATTTGTGTGAAAAGTATTATAAACCTCTTACAGTACAGTACTATATAGCCGATTGTGTTAGTTGGCTACCTAGGCTAACTTTGTTGGACTCAACGAACAAATTGGACTTAACGAATGCACTCTCCGAACAGAACTCATTCGTATGTCAGGGACCTACCGTACAGCCAGGCACAGTCTTTAAGAGGGAAGAGGATAACAGAGCAACCAAACAATAAAGTTTTCTCCAGATCTTATGCTGGGTTTTCATGTGTACAGAACAGACTTGAGAATAAGTCTGTTGACTGGGTGAAGCCACTCCTGCCTGCAGCCGGGGCAAGGTGCTCTGGCCCACCCACTGCCATCCACTGCCTGAGGGACCCCAGCCTAGACCAGAAGTGAATGACAGTTACTCCAGGCACAGCCCTGATGCAAGGCTCATCCCAACACCGAGTCCAAACCATCATCGGCTGGTTGCCCTCCCAGCAGAGGAAGGAAGTCAACGCAAGCCTACCCCAAAGGAAACCCCGGATGTCACATTAAAAGCTGTGAACGCTTTTGGACAACGGACAGAGAACACAGAAAACGTGAACCTTGGTGGAATTTTCCCAGAAGCACTTGAAACTCATGGTTTACAATATCTATCCTTTCGATACTAGGAAAGAGGTGGAACAGCAGCTGAAGGCTCTCAGGGAAGTATTGCAAGATATTGAGAAACTCGGTAAAGAATCTGAGCCAAAGCCCAATGCAATTATCCGTATCAAAGAAGAGAGTGAAGAAAACCAGTGAAAGCTGAGGAGCATATGGCAAAAATGTCAGAACAGACAAACTATAAGCTCCCTGAGGGCAAGGACAAGAAGATCTGGTTTGGGCTGCCCAGTGCGAGCACAGTGGGTGAAATCCAAGAATGCATGAATGAACTCTGAGTCAGCAGTGCGCAAGTCCTTGAGAGGATGAAGACAGCCTCCAGACAGCCCAGCCCAGGATGACTCTTGATACTGGTAGAAGATAGGCTCAAATTCTCAAGAAGCCTCAGAAACTAGCTCTTGTCAGAAAGATCTTTGTGTCTATGGATGGAGCCCCTGCTTGTGACACTCTTCTGTAATATTTTGATATTAAGAAAAACATTGCCAATAGCACCATCCAATATGGTATAAATCTAATAAATTTTAGTGAACTTCGAAAGCATTTTTAATGTGGTCTTTGTGTTCTCTAAGCTGCTATAGTTTATTTTCAGACTCTTGTATTAAAATACAAAATCCACCAATTTGTTATCTTGTCATTTTTAAGTAAATCTGATCCTCTCCCCTGAATCTGAAAAGACACAAACATGATAAACTTTACTCTCTTACTAAAAAAATGACTGCATTTTGTCTTTTTAGCAAAAAAGAAACTAAAGTCACACAAGTGCATCCTGTTTAATGCAAGAACTGAAGAGCACCCACATACACCATGATAAAATTAGGGAACAGAGGCTTAATATTTGGAAGAAGCAGTTTTGCTAGATTCTATTTACAGTTTCTCTAGTAGTTAACAAGACTTTTTACAGGTTTTTAACAAATAATACAGCAACAGATATATTTAGATTGGATTTATTTTTTTCCTCTCCTTCTACTGTTATATTACTGAGCCTCCTCATATTCACTCCCCCACCTGCCCCAACCTTCTCACATTCACAAATGTTGACGCCATGGCACTTCACAACTACTGAGCCTGTGCTCTAGAGCCCACGAGCCACAACTACTGAGCCCATGCACCACAACTCCTGAACCTGTGCTCTAGAGCCCACGAGCCACAACTACTGAAGCCCACGTGCCACAACTCCTGAACCTGCACTCTAGAGCCTGCGAGCCACAACTACTGAGCCCACGTGCTGCAACTACGGAAGCCCGTGTGCCTAGAGCTCGTGCTCCACAATAAGAGAGGCCACTGCAAATGAGAAGCCCGCGCACTGCAACGAAGAGTAGCCCCCACTCGCTGCAACTGGAGAAAGCCCGCACGCAGCAACGAAGACCCAACACAGCCAAAAATTAATTCATTCATTAATTTTTTTTTTTTTTTTTTTTTTGCGGTACGCAGGCCTCTCACTGTTGTGGCCTCTTCCGTTGCGGAGCACAGGCTCTGGACGCGCAGGCTCAGCGGCCATGGCTCACAGGCCCAGCCGCTCCACGGCATGTGGGATCTTCCCGGACCGGGGCACAAACCCGCGTCCCCTGCATCGGCAGGCGGACTCTCAACCACTGCGCCACCAGGGAAGCCCTAATTTTTTTTTTTTTTTTTTTTAAAGTTGGCACCATGCACACCAGTCAGAAATGCCTACCTAGAAAGAAAAAGTGATGAGAAGGCTCCCAAAGTCCTCCTTCCTCTACTGGCCAAATCAGCTGCAGGGAGAAGAGAAAGAAGATGGCTCTCTGCCCAAGGGTCGGTCCAAGTGTCAAGCAGCAGAAAGCCAGGGTTGCTGTCCAATGGTGATAAACGCATCTCCCACATCAACTAAGGAAAAGAAAGTACAATTTACTGAGTGCCTATCACGGGTCAGGCACTGTCTTGGGCACCCTGTCTAGGTTCACATTTAATCTCCCTAACAACCTAGTAAAATGGGAAAACTGAAGGTCGACGAATTTCAGTAACTCAGACAGGTTATAAGCTAACAGATGACCCAGCTGGGATTCTGAGGGCAGCTGTTCTGTCCCGCTCGAAGTCCGTCTGCCGGCTTTACAGACCCTGCTACCTCCTCAGCATGCATTCCTCTCACTGCCAACAGGGAATCCCCCAGCCAGGACACAGTTCTGCTCACTTGAAGACGTGAGCTCTCACTGCTCAGAACCCCGACCCATCTTGGCTAAAACACCTTCTAGGCTGATGGCTCGTGCCTTCAGTCTTCCAAAACAGAAGGAATCATCGCCACCTGTCAAGCTAGGAAAGGGCAAGGCCCTAACAAGGCAGAACAAAGTAAGGATGCTCCGTAGGGAACTTTGTCCCTAATTCCCTTCAAGTTGTTTGGTTTATGAAACCAAACAAGGTTTTTTATTGCACTTGTTTCTCTACACTCTTCTCATAAGAAAAACAACTGCCCGGGTAGACTCAACATGGAACCATACCTACTCTTGCTGTAGTACCTTCCAATCGTTTAACAGCATTAATGTTCCCAGGACCATTTGATCCTTTCTATAAACTCCTGGCTTCCGATGGGACGGGGCATCAGTGTCAGCCCCATTCCCTCTCAGCAACCTGGAAGCATCCTAGATTCTCCCTCTGCCTCTTCCACCTACTTCTCTACCTCCCCATTACAGGCTAAAAGCTCCTGGAGGGCAGGGCCCACCCCTTAATCTCTACAATGTTTAGTTCCCAGGGCCCTCCATGAAGGCACACATGACAGGGGGTCAAAAGGTAATGTTAAGAGCACGTCCCATGCTGACTGATGGAGAAGGACGTAGGCTCCAAAAGTTTAGCTCAGGGAAGGTTGCCCAAGCTTTGCTTTGGAGCTTGGAAGTCACATTTCTGAATAATCTTGACTCAGTGAGTCCAAAGAGAACAACGGGTCACCCTCATTAGAGAAAAGAGATTCACCTCTGAGTGAGGCACTCAGGAAAAAGGTCTCCATTAAAGGAAATGATTTCAGCCTATGAATGTGTGTTTTCATCACCCCTGACACTTGAGGCCCTGGGGAAACCTAACTGTTTTTCTGTTACCAAAATAAATACATAACAGGGTGTGTTCTGTCCTCAGTTGCTTTCAGGAAACGACTTCTTGGGATGGTCTGTTTTCTTTCTGAGCATCCCACGTGTCCTAAGACTTCAGCAGTAGTTGGATATTTAATCAGGTCACTTAACTTCCACCCCACCCTCTCAACTCCTTGTCTTCTGAAGATACTACATAGAATAATAATACTTTCAGACATGGAACAAACGGTCAGAACCCCTTTTTTGAACTTTAAATATTATCAGTAGCAAAAAGGCTACACGTTATTCTAATGAGCTGATAAGAAATCTCATCCACACTAGGCTTATTTTTCACAATTATTTCTTTAAAGATTTTTTGGGTAGTAAGACTAGAAGTGATTCAGAAAACAAAGGATATGATGAATCTTTTATATATACATATATATATATATATATATATATATATATGTTATCTAAAAACAAAGGAAAAAATAGACCCAAACATCAGGTAAGTTATAACAAGCAAGTCAAGACCTCCTATAAACACTACAACTTAGTTCTCACTGCTGTAACAGAATGTCTTGAAACTTCTCACGTACAAAGAAAGCCATCTGGGAAGTGACCTCCCGAGAGCAGGGGCAAATGACTGGACTCTGCCAACAATAATCAAATGATCCAGTTCTACTTCCATCAGATAACTAGAAAACTCACATCAAAAAGACAGACTGGGGCTTCCCTGGTGGCACAGTGGTTGAGAGTCCGCCTGCCGATGCAGGGGACACGGGTTCGTGCCCCGGTCCGGTAAGATCCCACATGCCGCAGAGCAGCTGGGCCCCGTGAGCCATGGCCGCTGAGGCTGCGCGTCCGGAGCCTGTGCTCCGCAACGGGAGAGGCCACAACAGTGAGAGGCCCACATACCGCAAAAAAAAAAAAACAAAACAGACTGGGGACTTCCCTGGTGGCACAGTGGCTAAGAATCCACCTGCCAACGCAGGGGACACAGGCTCGAGCCCTGGTCCGGGAAGATCCTACATGCCACAGAGCAACTAAGTCCATGTGCCACAACTACTGAGCCTACACTCTAGAGCCCGCAAGCCACAACTACTGAGCCCACGTGCCACAACTACTGAAGCGGGCACGCCTAGAGCCCATGCTCCACAATGAGAGAAGCCACAATGAAAAGCCCACGTGCTGCAACGAAGAGCAGCCCCCGCTCGCCGCAACTAGAGAAAGCCCACGCGCAGCAATGAAGACCCAACGCAGCCAAAAATAAATAAATAAAATAAATAAATTTATTTTAAAAATAAAAGACAGATTGAAACCGCACACATCAGATAGGACTTGAACCCACAATCTCTGGCTTAGGAAGGGACTCAAACCCACAATCTCCCAGCTGAAACCACATACCTGGTCTCAGGACTTAACGAAGCTCAGGTTCTTTAGGTCTCAGCACAGAAGGAATTCAGCGAGAGGTAAAGAAATAGTTAAGAAGTAGATTTATTAATATCCTCTGTAAAGAGGTTGCAGGAAAATGGGGTATCAGAGGATGGTCATGTCCCAGGTCTCAGGTGAGTCCCTGGGACGGACCACCAAGCAAGGGTCCTTTGCTTCACACAGGAAAGAATTCAAGAGCAAGCCACAGTACAGTGAGGGCAGAGATACACACACCATAGACAGAACGTGGCCCCTCTCAGAAGGCAAGAGCAACCCCAAAATATGGGGTGGTTAGTTTTTAAGGGCTGGGTGATTTCATAGTGTAATGAGTGGGAGGATTATTCCAACTATTTTGGGGTAGGGGTGGAGATTCCCAGGAATTGGGCCACCGCCCACTTTTTGGCCTTTTACAGTCAGCCTGGGAACTGTCATGGCGCCTTTGGGTGTCATTCAGCCGATGTATTATAATAAGCGTAAAATAAGGCTCAAGGTGTACTGGAAGTTGAATCTTCTCCCATCTTGGGCCTAATTGGTTCTAACCAGTTTATGTCATATCCTCAACAGCTATGTCATTCTTTTGGAGGTTGTGCCCTGCCCCCTTCCCTCCTGTCTCAAGATGGCCCACCTTCCAAGTGGCCTGTGGACCGACCAGGAATAAGACAACAGTCATAAATCCTACTATCAACTGGTACAGTAAGCACTAGGTTACTACTATTTGGTAAGTACTTAATATTTTGATAAATAAATGCATGCAAGAAAAAATTATTTGTTTCAGAAGGTATTCAGAGCCCAGCGCCATTGCTAACTCTGGCAGTAATTAAGTTCAGTACACATATGAATAATTTCTGGCTTTACACAGCACTTTCATGTGAGTTTGATCAGTATGCTCTCCTGTGCTTAACTGACATCTTTAAACACACTTTCGAAAGGAGGACCCTCTGGACCAGGCAGACATCTGGTTTCCTGAAGCGCTCACTCCAAACTTTTTGTTCCCACCCTCAGGGCCCCGCCCCTATCACTCCCCCCCCCCCCCCCCGCTCTCTTCCACGTCACCACGCCATGGCCACCTTGCAGTGACTGCGGACAAATTCCACAGAAAATTCTGGGCTCCAAACTGGACTGCCCACCTCCTCCCTTCTCAAAACACTTAATTGGCTTCCTGCTCCCATCACAATAAAACCTTAAGATGATACGCAAAATCCAGCACTGTGCCTACAACCCCACCTCCTCCTGATAAAACATGCTCTCCTCACTCACTCTCCTCCAGCTACACTGACCTCCTTGCTGGTCCCTGAACATGCCCAACACCCTCCTGCCCTCGTGCCTTCTGCCTTACAGCCATTAATGTCCCTGTTCTTTCCTCCACATAGCCAGGCTCTAGACTTTCCTTTAGGTCTCAACTTCTGGTTGATCAATTCATGGGTAAAAAAACCCATCTCGTAGAAAAGATTATCCCCATAAAGTAGGATTCTCCACCATTCCCCACCATCCTCACAGTCTACCTTATCTTGGTGTATTGTTCTTCTGGCTCTGGTCATCCACTGATATGCCTTTGTGTTTACTGGCATCTCTCCTGCTAGGTGTCTGTCACTAGAATTCAACCTGCCATGAGGGGGACCTTTGCTTTACTATCCTTTGCTAAGGATACTGCCATATCATTAGGATTAATGCATGGCCTGGCACACAGTGGGCTCTGGGTAAATGCTTGTAATAAATGAATGAATAAACAACACTTGTATTACATGTAAGTTGCATCCCTACAGGGTTAAAAAAAATAAAAATAAAAAGGTCCACACCCTCCAAGAGCTCTTCTGTCTTTGAAGAACCCTGGGGAAAGAGCCTGAGTCTGGGCTGGGGAAGGGGAACATCAAGGGAGCACAGAAAAAATCATATTAGTGGACCACCTTCTCAGGGGTCCCCAGCCCTTGCCCAGGAAAGCAGAGTCAGCTCCCTACCCTCCCTGCTCACTTCACACCCTTGAAAGATAGGAAAGAGCTGAAGATTGCAGACGACAAAGAATGCTACAGAAAACCTAGACAGTCAGAATAGGAGTATCTGGAAAGAGAAAAATCTTACCTGAGGACAGGAGAAGCAAGTCTGGAGCAGCACAATCAACGGCAGTGACACAGAAGATACAAGACACACTGCGAGAGTACGAGAGAAAATGGCCCAGCCCAGAGATAGTATGAGCAATGATGTTGATGTCACCACTGACAATGGAAGCAACAGGATGGGTGAAGTGAAAGAAAGAGTCATCTTCTTGGTAACTAATACTTTTAATTAATTTATTTATTTTTGACTGCGTTGGGTCCTCATGGCTGCACACGGGCTTTCTCTAGTTGTGGCAAGTGGGGCTACTCTTCGTTGCAGCGCACGGGCTTCTCATTGTGGTGGCTTCTCTTGTTGCAGAGCATGGGCTCTAGGTGCATGGACTTCAGGAGTTGTGGCACACGGGCTCAATGGTTGTGGCTCGCTGGCTCTAGAGCGCAGGCTC